TGTGAGGTATTATTGTGTACAGGCTTTGAACATCTAATGTAGCCTTATTGGAGACAGCTGAAACTCTCTCTATTTCAGAAGAAAAAGCCTTATCTGTTTTGTGGCCACGGAGCTCACAGGAATTACCACACACTCATTCTGCTAAGGATCTTTACAATGACCTATCCAGACTAAAAAAACGTGAGGTGGATTTAGATCTCCACAGAGTTTTCCTATCTGACTATTATAGGTCTAAGCGTATTCCAAGGGGCTTTCGTATAAGGAATGCTCCCACGATTGGGCGACAGAACCCTGATTTCTGCAGGAAGTGGATGAACATTTCGAATAAATGCTCTCTGGACTGGATGGTGATTGTTATTGAGGAAGTGGGAAGAGAATTAATTCAAGTTAAGAAATCCATTCAAGATTTTGAAATTACCCATGTGACAGTGTTACAAGATACTCCATCCACTGAATTTATGTTAAAGCTACAGAATGATATACAGAAATACCAAAATGATTTGATTAGGTTTAAGAGATTAAAGGTTGAAAAAGTTAACCATGATTATAAATATCATCAAGTATATCGTTGGTTAAATGGATTGGATACCCAGACACGTAATCCCACTCCAAGATTTAGAACGCGGATCAGAAAACCATCACTGCAAACAGCAGACATCAGTTCAGGTGAATCAGCATCTGAAGGTGATAACAGAGATGATCAAACAATAAAGAAACAGGTTACTTTTTTAAAGGGAGGTCAGCATATGAACGATCCCCCACGGATGACCAACACTACTACAACAGACGGACGAGACATAGGAGACACATCAGACGTGGACAAACGAATTACAAGAAATACAGGCAATACAGGAAAACCTCCCAGGCAACGGAGGTAATTCCTATCTTTAATCTATCTGGTAAGCTTTTGGATCACAATCATGTGTCGCTGCTACAAAAGGGTCTCACTTTTATACCGGTGGCCAAACCTAAGAAATTTGAAATGGCTATTGACTTATACAAATTACAAAGAACACTTTACAGCAACGAAATAAGGAAGGATGAAACACGCAGTACTATGCATACGTTTCCTAATCGGATAAAAAAGGATATTTTTACACCCAATCCGTCGATAAAAATATTTATGCAAATGCTCCGCCATGATGTCTATTCAACACTGTCTGCAATACCCCTTCACAGTGATAACTTGTCGAAAGAGGAACATATTGCTTTAAAGGATCTAATGCAAGACCCTACCATCATAATTAGACCAGCGGATAAGGGCGGCGCCGTTGTGATACAAACATATGTGGATTACAGAAATGAAATTATGCGTCAGTTGAATGACGAATCAACATATCGGAGACTCACATTTGATCCTGTCAGCAAGTTTCAAAGAATGATTGAACAACTTATTGAATTGGGACTGTCACGTCGGTACCTAGATGAGAATACTGCTAAGTTCCTATATGTAAAATATCCAAAACACCCTGTTTTATA